TCTAAGAGAAAGGCGGAACGTACCTTCAGCCGACACGCTATTTGCCTCTGTTTATTTTGTTGCAATTCCTCCAATATTACATCTTGCAGTGCCGAATTTCTGTATTTATTGTTGTTGGAGCTTTACAAATATTCGCCATTCTTATCTCGCTGCCTCGGCACATTGGTTGCTGGTGAAGGGAAATGGGTGGAGCTTCGCCACTTCTCTTTTTCGCGCTTCCTTCACGTGCTTTTGAGCTGCGAAAGTAGTGCATCCATGCTTGCGGAAGGACTACTATGTTAAGACCTTTATTTTCATTTATTAATTTTTCCATTCCCAAAGGAGGCGTCTGAACATCAAGTAAAGGCGGAGCGTGTTCAAGCGGGAGCCACATCAACGCGTTATCCACCCTCTGCACTCATCATCAAGAGAAGATAGGAGCACTGAATTCGGGCATAGAGTTGAAAATTCGAGAAAACACCCTCTCAAGAATGTAAATTAGTAGGAGAGGGGAGAGCAATTAAATGAACGAAAAAGGAAAACATCCGATTGAATGCAAAAATAACTAAATCACCTGTGCATGAAGGAGACGGTGACTGTATTCGGTTTCCATTTCTCAGAGCCAACTATTAGAAGTTCCTCCAGAGTAGCTGTAAACCGATACTTGGCGGCCTTCTTGTTCGTTCGCCGTATTCGACGAATGACAGAAGCCATAACTGACTGGAAAACGCCTTAAACAGTGGCTGAGCATAACAATTCAACTAACTGTTCGATACATATCTATCGAGTAATAAAAGGAGTAAAAAGGCTCTATTTGATGATAAACGCGAAGATTACTGTGAGGCCAACGTTTCGGCAGTACCTTCGGTTCTTCAGAGCTTGTGAATCAAAACATGTTTCACAGGGAGTTCGCCCCAATTTCATTTTGTATTACAAAAAAAAATGAAATTGGGGTGAACTCCGTTTAGACAATGGAACAACGCCGCACATAAAGATAAAGCCGTGCTCATCAGAAGATGCGGCGATCTGCCGATCTCCCGAATCGCCAGATCGCCGAGTCTCCCAAATGGCCTAATCTTCGCGGTCAAGTATGAACGGGGCTTAACCTCTTTGGGACGGTCAACCGCCTTGGGTTACTAGGCATCTGCGACCACGATTTTTCTCGCTGCGAGATTCCAGAAACATACACTCGTCACTAAACTTTGAGGAGAGGAAAGAAGGAGTAGAAAAGGAGAGAGAAGGGATCCTTAACGGCTGACACGTAGTTTCTTGCTTAATAGGAAGTATATCAAGCGTAAATAAAGAAAAGCATTGTAAACATGACGGCAAAATTTGAGGAAGGAGGGTAACAAGTAAAAAAACGCTCGAAGAAGCTGAAAAACCCGATTAACCACGTGCCCGGCGGTTCACTGGATGTTCGACAACTACTTCAATCTTCTCAAATTTATTGCTGAACTGAACCGCCTGCTCCTCGACTATACTTCTAGCACTAATTGTAAGTTATAGCTCATCAGGTATCCGGCAGAAGTCCCAAGTAAGCCATATTTCATCTAGAGGTTCTTAAAAAACTACTTACACGAGGATGAAGCAAAAAGAAAACCGAACAGACTCCTAAAGGCTTTACTTCTTGCCTAGAAAGTTGCTAAGTGGAATCCTAATGTGTTTTCATTGATGATCCAACGCTTTGAGTAGAATGGTATTTGATATCGCGGTCGGACTTCGCGATGAAATCGCTTGAGCGACTAGATCGCGCGATCCAGTTGCGGGATAGGATCCGCTCAACTGTATCGCCGATCCAGTCGCTAGAGCAACCCGATCGTAAAGTATGAACGCGGTTGACTGAGGCCCAGTTTACTATCACAGAAGCAAGGACGCTGTCACGTAGTTACTTTGTTTCTCAAATAAAACAACAAAAAAAAGATCAAAAGAACAAAAACTCTTCACTGGATTTTACAGAGAGAAGTGGAGCAGAGAAATCCCCTTCTATTTCAGTTACATAGGGGATATTACCCAATGAATGTGGAGCAGAAGACCCATCCTGCCGCATACAGGTGACTAAGTAGACTGATTTGGGCCGCTTCCTGCCGGGCTAACCACACTTATCCGTGGGAGAGGAAAACACTAAGGGTAATGACTAATCTCCGAAAGTCACTTTAGAGGCTCAATCGCATTTGAAACGTTATGACTGTGGACGGAAACAGATATGAGGTCAGGGTAGGCATTGCCGGTACCTCACGACGAGTCGTACATGGCCGGTGGAAAGAAAGATCGCATCTGGCCTTCTGAGATTTAAGTGTCTTCATTTGCTTTCCACACACTGGAGTCCCCATATAGTCCCCTCCCTTCCCGCCGCCGACTCTCGGCGGAGACCAAAGTCGTAAAAATTTGCATAACATCTGAATATCTCCATCGAATCTATCTCAATGTTACCTATACGTTTCGTCAGCCATATTGCCTTCCACTTTATTGGTTTAGCGGAGTATTTCCCGCGGGTGAACCTGGACCACGGAAGAAGATGAGGAGCCCAATCTGCGTGGTCGTTAGCGTTTGAATCCGGACTTTCATGCACGAAGATCTTTTTGGAATGAAAGGTTCCGTCGTAGATCTAAAATTAACCGCACCGCCACACGGCACGATTCAAACTGGCAGTGTCTGAACGCAGCTCGACATTTTGGCGCAGTCTTCAAAAGATGAAACTTCCCATCATTGAAAGAAAAGGAAGGTAAACAGAAATGATTATGAGCCAAGGGGATGAGGATTTTCACGAGAACATGTGAAGGAAGGAGCTCAGAGGTGGGCGAAAAACTTCTGCCTTCAAACATAATCGAGGGTGCCAAAAAATTCGGGACATAAAGATGACCCGGCGTAAACTTTTCACGGCCGTTCAATAGTTAACTGGAATAAAATGTAAACATCCTGGAAAACTGAATTCCAAAAGGTCAGTGAAATGGTGAAAGAGCTGAAAACTTTATGCTACCGTATTTCGCCTCACAATTTGGGAATCTTGACCACTAATCTACGTGAGTTGAATGGTGAGAGGTGCTTATTTTATACGAGGAAGGTGTAACTGAAGCTTCCATAGTAGCCTGTTTACTAAAAAGACCTTAAGAAGTTGGTACGTTAGCTCGGTATTAGGTCCAGGTTCCACTCCTAAAGCTGGGTCAAGCACTTTGCTCTTATGGACAAACTCCGCGATTGCATATTGTGGGTTGTGGCGTGTGATAA